AAAAGTATAACTGCGTAGAAAATTATCAACTAAGTAGGTACGTATTGTAACTTTTAAATAACGTATTCAATTGTTTAATATCTATTATTATATAAACACTAATATTATAAAACAAACATACAAACACACACTCACATACTTTAGACACGGTGCTTTAGATGTGAGTGTATGTTTGTTTTATATACTATTTAGTTGATAAAAATATATATTTATTTAATACATTTAGTGAGTTTAGCCTTGAGTGAGCCGTGCTTCGGCCGGTTCGACTGGAGTGAGTGGAGTGACCGGCTTCACAGAATCGGTGCTAAGCCATTATTTCGTTACTTTTAACAGAGTGAGTGAGCTTACTAGAGCACAAACTCCTTTCCCTCTAATTCCCTAATTCTGAGGGGGGAGGAGGGTTTGAAGAGTGGCAACACAGTAGTAACTTGATTTGATACTTGAGTTGCAGGTGTTCATAGGCGGCGGTACTCACTTACTATCAGTTCAGACTTCTCGTTTGCGCGTCTGTGCCATAAAAAAGCGAACCCTACGTCTAAATATTATGAGTCGTTACCAGTTTTTTGTCAGACCAACCGGCCGGCATATAATCGCCGCCTATCATATTATAAGGGTAAGGTAATGGTGAACTTACATTGTCTGTACGCCTAATGTTCAGTGCTTGTCACGTAAATAAAATTGCGTTATCAACTTGTCCCTGCTCCGTGTTTTACACATCTCGCTTGGTTTATCCGATTACAGTTTATCGTTTTTTTTTTTGTCACAATTACAGATAGCGCTTTGTTTTTGTGTGACGTATGAATAGGACGTTGTTTAGGTTGAATACATCATTATGATAATTTATTTAAGTATCAATTATTGTTTTTGTTCATAAATTTTTACAAGGCATATATTATAAAAATTCTTAGTGTGTGACGTAAATTTTATGAAACACCGCCCCTCTCCCCCCACTCCAAGCCTTTTAAAAATTTATAAAGAACTCCTGAATATTTAATCCCTAAAAATGTGTCCATAGTTTTTTTACCCTTAGTTTTCGCACGTGGCAAATCTAAAGATCCTATTATGTGCAATTGTGCATAGGCTTTGAGGAAGATTTGAAACAGATTGTCATAAATATCTTGAATTTTATTTAGAGTAAGTACCTAGTCTCTAGGGGGGCCTAGAGACTACTTTACGAAATAAATCCTCTCTTTAAGACAAGTGGGTAAACTTAGCGTCATCCGCTAAGAGAGGTCTTAATAATAATCATATTCTACCACATTCACACAACGCCCTCTAGTCCCAAACTAAGCAGAGCTTGTACTATGGCTGATACTGATATAAATACATATATACTTTTTTTTGTAAATACATACATATTATACATAAAAACACCCAGACCAAATCAAACATTAAATGTTCATGCACACAAATGTTTGAGTTGAGCCTGAATCGAACTCACGACCTTTAGAATAGCAGTCCGTTACACAAGCCACTACGCCATCCGGTCGCTGTCTTAAAAGATAACTATTTTTTTGATGGGAAAGAATACTTCTCTATTAAAAAAAAACTCAAAGCAATACGTAAAAAGTATATCTAAAGATCTGAAAAGGAGTGTAAGTATTTTGGATACTAACCTGTGACCAACCCATATTGTGGAAGTCCATTAGAACGACGGTTCCTCTAACTTGTGACTCTGGCTCCAACATGGCCGCTTCATGAATTAAGTAAAATAGTCTGAACAGCTGGTCGGCAGTCACCTTTTTCGGATCCCATGTACCTTGACAATAAAACACATATTAATGAATAAGGTATTTGTATATTATTGGATTGTAAACAGACATTCTCACCTGGTGGGCTAAATAAGCAATCGAAATATTTTATTATAATAATATATTTGATTAATAATTAATTTAATAATAATCAATCAAAGGTAACATAAAAATAGTTGATTCGCTATATAAAATATCTCATTTAAATTTAATTATTTAAAAAAATAGGTGGGCGATTAAATTCTGCTGAACAAATGAACGAATGCTATAAAGATATGTAATTAAAACATGATTGAAGAAAATGTTAATTTTTTTATTCAACTATATAAACCAATGTAGGTTATTTCTGTTGTATAAATGTCATACATGATTCATAATTACCTACTTATAGAACTTTTGTCATACTGTTTGCTTTAACCACGAGTGTGCATGCATTAGTTTATTTAACGATCATTTATATCTTTTTATTTTTACACTTCTTGTTAACAAAGCATCATTATCAAATTCAGAGTTACTAAAATTATGTAAACATTATTTTACCTACATTTTATAAATAACAAATGTAAAAAAAAATGAAGGTTGCAAAGTTTAGGATCAGACTACTCGTAGTATCTTTTATCATAATTTTATCTTTATAACAAATATCTTAAAATAGATAGAAAAATAACAAATCTGTTTATCATTGCATTTTTTAATAATACAACTTACTTATTTAAACACATCAGCAAATAAAAGATGGTCATTACCATAGATTACAAAGGTGATAGATCACCCATCTTTGAGACAGTCAAAGACACATACCTAAACGCATATCTTTGTCTACCCAGCATATTATGTGTCATACACCTTCATGTTTTGTTTCTCAGAATAATATTATTTTTATACTACCAAGATGACCAACTATGCCATGGTCTGCTTGATAAGCAGTAAAGTAATACGTATCAACATTTACAATAACACTTGTAGTGGCAAACTAAAACAATGTGTATGTGGCAAAGTAAAATAATTTTTCGGAACTGTTTCATTTATTATTGACATGACAAAAAAAAACTTATCCTAAAAGAAAAAATATAATCATATTACTAGTACTACATTTAAAATTACCCGTTATAACCGATAAACTGTCAGTTGTCCATAAGGTAATTTAAGTAAAAAGTATTTCAACAACAATCTGTGAGCTTCTTCATTAGAAGATTTCGGTTAATTTTCAATCTAGTTTTATTAAAACAGATTGAAAAATTACCGATTGAAAAGGATCTATTTATCCTTTATAGTCATTAACCAAAAGTTAGGGAATCTGCCTAAACACATGCTACCGAGCAACCTACATCAGACTATAAAGTATCAATAGGTTACGAAGTCAAATATCTTTCTGGTACGTCTTAATTATACTCGTAATACACGTTTGGGATCTACAATTTTCAATTTTCTGCAATTGTACATTTTAACCAACTGTGAAAGTTTGAAATCGTTTTCAGCTATGTTTCCTTTACTTTCTTGTACATGTATATTTATCTTTTTTTATAAACGTAGTGGACTTAAACAACTCGCTGGATGCGAAAAGCCCAAAATCGATCCAAGTGGCGTGCATTGGGAGAGGCCTATGTCCAGCAGTGGACTGCGATAGGCTGATGATGATGTATTATATCTTGATGTTACTGATGACAAAAATTATAAATCTAATTCTAAATTACTTATACAAATCTATGTAGAATTACAAACACATACTATCACGTTGATTATAAATTTTGTGTTTTCTTTACTTGTATAACTTAGAATCTTTAATAGGATTACTCTGCAAATTTAGGCATAGTTTCAAAAAATTTCTTCCGTCTAATACTCGTACGATTGTTAACCCTCTTATTACGCCATTTTTTAAACTCGTGTTATCGCAATTTAATTCAAAATAGGAATAACGCACAAAATTTGGCTGTAACTTCTGATGATAAAGCCGCCAACTCCGATATTGTTTTTTAGAACTTACTACATAATTTAAAGCTCTATGTATCTTCGTAAAGTACAAGCCAAAACACGTTGCAAAAGTTAAGTTACAGTCTTGCAATAAGTATTTACCAAACCTAAATAAGTTATTACTTAAGTACGTCAATACAATATGATGTAACATTATTTAAATCTTAATAATCAAAATTTATTTTCTGCCTTTGCCTTCATTCTTATCTGCCGTACCTGTCAACATCGTCTCAATTTTCTTATCCCATAGGGATTACCTAAAGTCCTAGGTTGACGACAATAAATAGACTTCTTACCTAAGTAGAACTAAACTTAGAATTAGCAAAATGTGGGCGTTAAATATCCCCGTATATGTAAATATACATAATTTAATAATGTGCTGATAACCGACCAGGTGAATCAACGAAGGCGGTGTATTGCAACCTCAGGAATATAACACACGAAACTCTTTTTGAACTCAATTACTAACGTCCAATATGGAATAAATATGAACTGCTTTGACAAACAAACTAGAACCTACTGTACTTTTGTAAAAAATGTGAATAACAGTAAAATTTGCTTGCATCAGACATTACTACTGAGGTTGAGAAATAACTATTATTTTCCTTTGTGATGATCGCGTAACTTATACCTAGGTATTTGTCTGCTGCTGAACAGATATTGTGTAGACACAACAATGAAGCATATCTAATTTCATTAAAGATAAGAAAAAGTTGATTACTTAACTTCAACCAGTGTTTGTTAAAAAAGCTGTGAACTCTTTCTACCCGACTGCAGCGAAGTTTAAAACGAGGATTGTAAGTTTGACCCATTTGTATATTCCCGAGTATGTCCGTTCTAATGTTACCTTGTAACTACTAAACGGCTGCACGAATTTTAAATAGTGATATACTCCTAGTATGTCTTTAGATTCGTCTTTATTAAGTTCTATTAGTAAAGACATAATGTAAGTTGTTTTATTCAAATAAAAGGTTTTCAAAGATGGTTACAAAAATATAATATATATCACTTTTTTGTTTATACCTACTGGTTTCCATTATATTTAATTGTATTAAACTGCGTGAGTGTTTACACCACGAATGGTATGACCCGCATATTATCCAATGAGGTTATGTATTCTAAAACAGAAATACTGTCGTATTCACCACACTTCTTGTTTACTACCGCTTTCACTAAGATACTCCTTCATTCCGACTATTTTATATTCCCAGCTCAAACTTTAAACTCATAAGGGCATAATTTGTACGTTTCCCTTAAAGACTAAAAACATAAACTTACCTCCAACATTAACTATGAGGATCCTTCTGCCCTTGTTGTCGCGGCCTTTCATAACGTTGACAACCTTGTGATCGAGGAACGCATCTTTCTCATCTTGAGGCAATAAGCCGTCAAGCAGAGATGCGTTGTCACGTTTGAATTCAGCGATACGACGCATCTGCAATAAAAGAAACTATTAAACTACTTGGTGAAGGTTTGTGTGACCTTACATAAAAAAACTGAAGTTAATTATTAACATACATGCAATTTAGCGTTGGTTGTTGGTTAATAGTACTTAATACGTAACTAGCTGCCGCGCGCCGCTTGGTCTGTATCTCTCAAAAGAAAAAAAACACTCGTTTTTGCATCATTTTTGTTTGGTGCTAGGCTCCTATTAGCCGTAGAATGATGTTACATAGCCTACAGTCCTCAATAAATCGACTATCTATCCAATAGTGAAAAAAAATTCAATTCGACCTAGTAGTTCCCGAGATTAGCGCGTTTAAATAAACAAAAAAACTCAGCTTTATAATATACAGCTTTATAGAGCTCAGCTTTATAGATACATTATAAAAAAGTACTAACTACAAGAGCTAAAGTTTAGAGAAGACTCAATCATGTGGCAGTTTTATAAATTCTCAAGAACTTTCAAAAGTGGTTATGTGAGCAACACCATATTTTTCCCAAACACAAATATATTCTTGTTGTATCGTAACAACATCTCTAACAAGTAAATGCATCTGAATATTTACATAGTACTCACACCTAAAATCATTTATTTTTTTATGTGTGGGAGGGAGTAATTGTTCCGAAACATCAGAATAGGTTGACGGATAGTAAATCTTACTGAAAGCAATCAGATATAACAATAATTTTATTTTATTTTTTTATTTTAATAATAATTTTTACTTTAGAATCTTAGTAAGCTATACTCTTCATTAATTAATTTTTCATCCTTAGTGGTATTATTTTTTCTTCAAATTTGAATAGGACCAAGCGGGAAATATGTTATACCCACCCTAACAAAAAAATAATTTCTGAATTCAATCCAAATTGGTAATCCATGGAAAAGAAAATTACAACGAAATCGAAAACCTCTGTATTTTTTAAGTCAGTAAATAAAAATAAACCGAGTTATACGCGCTTTCTTTTAAAATTAAATAAATAGGTACACCATTGCAGTCTTCACTCACTGCATTAACGAGAACGGAATAACAGTCTGTTGAGTCTAGAATGAAATTTAAACTACATGTTTTCTACGCATAAAGTTATTAATTACTGCATAAATGTCACTTATCTACCTGTACAGAGTGGGTACTTTCCGCTAGAAACCGAGACTCTAATTTCGTAGAGAAAATATTTAATTATATAATTATATATCATGTAGATGTAAATTGCAAGTCTGCTTGTCTGGACTTAGGTCATTTTGACGAACAAGTCTTGGATCTTTAATAATAGCCATTAGTTTAAAATGCAACAAAACACCTTGAGGTAGCGACATGTCTTTGATCTTTTTATAATTTTTAAAAGGCTTACAAAATTACATATTTGAAAAGCTATGCTTGACTTTACAAACATTTAGATAAAACATATTAGATACTTAGGGTTAACTTGGTGTTTAGTGTAACATCAAATTGTGTATTCCACAAATGCGTGTGGGGTACAGACGCTAAGGCGTTTGTACATGAGTTAGGGCGCAGGCTGAACAAAGTGACTGGTGACTCCCGCTCAGGTTCGTTCCTGGTGCAGAGGTCGGCCTTGGCCATTCAGCGTAACAACAGTTCCTGGATCCCTCCTATTACAGGCGCAGAGTGGCACACCGTGTGGTTTTAGTCGGTCCGATTCCTACACACCTACCCCCCCCCCCCCCGCAAACCACGGCAGCCTGAGGGGGTTTCCACACTTAAAAAAGCGACCAGAGGTGGGTTATTTAATCTATAAATAATTTTAGTTTTATTTACTAGGAATCAATAATAAATAAATTAATAATAATAAATTGAATAAACGTATTTTGAGATTTAAAATCCACAAATTGTTGTTCTGAGTCTGAGTGTTCTTTGTGTCCGTTTCGTGTATGTTTGTAAAGTCCCCCGCGACACAGGATACCTATATTCCAAATGTAGGAGTTGTCTTTAAAAAAAAGAAAAGTGTACTTAAACTAGGTTAGCGGTTTATATACCTAGCGTATTAAGATTTATTATTAGCTATTAAGCATCTTATCGTATATCGCATCATAGGCTTTTGCAACACCAAGGAGTTATATACGAATCCCGGTTAGGTGGATAATAAAATATTGTAAATTGGCACTTGAGACATATTTAAGCTTTCAAAAAAAAACTAATACTTGACACGCTCGTACATCACGTCAAATATCATGGAGAAAACAAAAATATTGTCCATTTAGACTCGATTCTTGTAATCTCAACTTGTTATCATAATAAAAGAATAGTTTACATTATCTGTGCAAAACACAATGGGACTCATTTCCTTGTTAGTTTCGATAATATGGTATATTACCAACATTACAATGATGTAAACAAACGTTGGGTAATTGGTAGTTGAGAGTACAGAGGTTACTAAAAGAAGTTTGTTGTAGAATTACGCAGTAATAGTTATGTAAATCTCATAACGACGTCATTTATTTGTTAGTAGCGACCGTTACCGACGTTAGTACTCACAAAAGAGCAATAATTTATTTACTATGAATGGTTTCCTTAAAACCAAAATACAATTAGGTGTTCTTACTTTCTTTCCTCGCTCAGGACCTTTTTTTATTCTACTGCAATAACTACTTTTAAATACGGAATAATTTAAGAATACTATATTTCTTATATTATTTATATTTATAAAATCGTAAAATTTACTAAAGATTCTTAGAATTTTTGGATTTCATGGATATTATTTTAAAATTGTAAAGGTTACTTTCTTGTAAACTAATAATAAAGTTTTCACAATGTACAACATTTCGTTCTTTCATTAAAAATACTAGTGTTGGAAATTTAAATTTAAAACTAGTACGAGTATCTAAGATTTTTCGAATTATTGTAAAGAACCATTTATCTACAATGTAAAGAACACTCTCGGTCGTCACACTTCTATTTAAAAAAAAAACAGTCCATCGATAAAGGATAGCATATACAGACGTTAAACTTGTAGACCATAAGGGTTTTTAAAGTTAAAAAAGAATACTTCTTTTTTTAACTTTAAAAAAAGAATTAAGTAAGTTTGAAAAAGGAATGCAGGTAATCGTAAGTCAACGGGAACAGGTGTCAATCGTGAAACAGAGCTCCTGTTAGTAAATAGGTACTTAATATACCTTAATATACGAACGTTAGAGTTCGAAACAGCCATAACGCTTGTTTTCTTAGAAAATTGTCCATAATAATATAATAGGAGTCGAACATGCATGCAATATACTAAACGTATTTTTGATAATTATATACTAGTTATATCTTAGTCTTCGTAAACCATTAGATACACAAATCAAGATGTGGCAACACTTAAGAAGTCTTATATTAATTCTTGCCATATAAAGAGTGTAAAATTCGTCAAGTTAAAACCGATTGCTCAAGTAGGTAACTGACCAGATGATTGCAAGTGAAGTGGGCACGTACAAGCTCACTATAACATGGCGGCGGAGTCTTGCCTAATCTCTTCTACCTTAAATTGAATAACATTGAATATCTAGGTAGCGACTGTAATATTGTACAATATACGATCATAAGAGGCCACGTACTAATTAAAAAAAACGGATTGTCATAGAAATAAGGTTACGATAGCCGATGTTTTTTAAACATTTCAAAGAGTGAGATGTATATGTCTATGTCTCTGCTCAAATGTGTAAGGCTAAACCGTTGCGTTGTGTGATGTCTTTATACATCTAAATAATTTAAAACATTGGAAGCGTTTTATATTCTTTAGTATTACCATAACAGACCAAACTAAACATATGAATGTCTTATTCTCAGAACTATCAGAGTTGGTCATTTTACACGCTTTATATTAGCTTCACTTGTATGTTTGTTTGTATGTTTGTAACCGGCTCCTTTGGGCGTGATTTTGACTGACTTTAAACGGTCAGAATCCGTTCAAACTTTGTAGATATATCGAGGACCGATGACAATACACTAATTTAAAAAAAAACTAAAAAACACGCTTTCTATATAAAACTATAAAAAAGTCAGACTAAATTTGGTTAATTTTTGACTTTACAAAACATTACAAATACAGAATAAAAAAAAAGAACAAATCGAAAATAAAAACTATTTTACCTAGTTTTTTAAACTTCGTGCACTAAAGCGGACTCGATGCCATTATCTGCCAGTCAACATTAAGATGATGCAGAAATAAAAATATGGTAGGTGCGAAGATACAACGAAATGAGAAGAGAAGAGAAATAGACGTTTTAAAAACGAACGAACGTTACGAACAGACAGTCACCTTTACTGTTACTACGGCTATTTTTCACAACCAAAGTACACTGGTAAGCTCTCACAGTTCTTGACAATACCAGTGTTAATATATATAAGTATGACCTACGTATATTATGGGGCCAAAAAGGATTTCTTGGAGACTTTTAGAATAGATTGGGAACATTAAATTTTATAAATGGTAGAAGTGATTTCATACTACACATTAGATACAAGAATAGTTTGTACACTGTCCTCAAATTATACAATTTATGCCATTTTTTTCCTTTACTAGTCTCTGGGCATATATTTAAATATATAGTTATTATTATCGTTACAAAGCGCAACAGAATGTTCATTGCAGACAGTTAAAAAAAAGGATATTCCATTAACATTTTATAGTTTTATTACGGTCAATGATGTTACGACAATGAACTTGAGAGATTCTAAGACAGAGAATCGTTTGCCATAGTTATCATAACCACGGAAGTTTTACTTAACGATATAAATTGATGGGAGTTAGTGTCACGCTTAATGTACACAGCCATTATGTTATCATCGATCAATTTAAAATAACTCATAGAACAATGATTCTCATAGTGAATGATAGGGAGATGTATGGTTTTATTATAACTATTCAATAATATAAAAAAATCTTACAAAAAGTTTAGAATCCATAATGTAATTGTGGGTCATAAGTGTCTTAGCCCATCCGTATAATAAAAGTTCTTATACATCACTGACCCTGTCATTATGCCTTTAAAATAAT